CCTTCGGCGTTCCGGAGCTGGAAGCCGCTTATCATTTGACTCCTTACGTAATCTGTAAATAGTAATCTCACTATCACAGAGGAGCACGAGGGGTCTTGCCATATACCGTGGGGTTAGATCTTGTAGAGGTGCTTGTAACGGCTGCAGGAAGGTCTTCACTGGTAAGTAACTTGAGATTGCTTTCACAATCTTCAAACCATGGTACACTCCGACTAGTTCCTTACGTGGTATAGACCAAGTGGCTTGGGTACCCGGAAATAATCCTCCCCTTGCCATAACTCTAACCGGAAGGTAGTCACCTGTGCACCTTATATCAACACCCCATGCATCATTGGAAGCATCCGTGGACACAATAATACCCTTCTCAGCGAGCTCAACAAACCGTTGCGTGCGTGTATTAGCGACCACTTCTTCAACTTGTCGTACCCAAAGCTTCAACCGATCAATCAATTCCACCGTTAGGATACTTGACCATTCCTTACACGTAGCACAGATATCTCGCCATATTAACCTTCCAGCCATGTCCACTTCCAATAACAATCCCATAGGGTCATACAGCGAAGAAAGTATAGCACAAGCCCTTCTTTTGTCACACTGCTCAGCGGGCATGTAACCAGAGAACATACACACAAGTTGATCCTTATCAAGGGCTAAAGTATAGCCGAGTAGATGGCCGTCATCATGCAGTTCCTCTCGACCTCCATGACAGGTTGTAAGATCCTTAAGTGGATCAGTGATCAACCCATGTCCCTTAAAGAAGTGAGTTACGAACTCCTTACTCGACCGTGCTTCTTCTGCTGTATCTCCACCAAAGAACAAGTCGTCCACGAACTTCTCGAACATCACCTTCTTAGGTATTGGGGGTCCATCCTTTATATAGTTAACCCCTTCCTCCGTAGGAAATAGGAGGATCTTATATACCAAGTCGTCGTTCAGAATGTTCGCGTTGACTGATTCCTTAGAGTTCATCGATACCAACCTTACCAGTTGTGATATCTCACCGGTAATATCATAAGAGCAAGCCTCAAGCATGCTCGGTGCTGTAGTACTCCCGAAAGAGATCCTT